TGGAAAAATAGATTCATTGCAGACCATGTTGTTGCAATCCCAGAATACCCTCTGGGACTTTGAAAGTAGGGGGACCTACCAACCCGTGCCTCAGGAGGAGGTGTCAAATCTTTTCATTATGAGTGAAGAGGATGAGTATGTTTCAGTCCTTTAGCTCATTTTGCCAACCATACAAACATCTCCTCAGACAAACATCAGGGTAAGGTCAACGATGCAGGCTGAGTCGGAGGACTTGACCTTGTGTCCAGTGGTTGGTGAGTGACAGTGAATCTCAGGCCCGGAGGGGCCTGGGCCACGCTCCGGCTCCACCCGCCACAGCCTTCCATTTGAAATAAAAAAAGAAAGGAGGAGATGTTGGGATTTTCTGCAACGGTCAAATAATTTGCTTTGCATGTAGAATTGTTGTCAGAACCTGACAATGTATAAGAAACTAGCATAGCTGCATTGAATGTGTGAATTTGCATATCCTATCACATAACCACATCCTTTGCTGTGCTTGAACACCTGCTGTTGCTTGGAAACACAAGCCACAGAGCCTGTCCGGATAACTCCGGACATGAGAGAAAACCACATCCTATAGAAAGCATCAACCAATTATATGCTAAGACACAACTGCATGTTAACCTACTTAGTTTTCTGCCCTGCAACAAGTATGTAACCAATTATATGATAGCATGTACTTAATTGACTGCACATGTAACCAATTATGTAACAAGCATGTACTTCCTCATATAAGCGGCAAATAAAAGAGGAACTCAGAACACCCCCTGGGTCACTCACCTCGAGGAAATTCCTGCGTGTCTCTTCCTTTCTGGCTTGTCGTCGCTTGCCAGGACTCATGGGTGGCCCACCTTAATTGTGGCAAACCACAAAAGCCACAATGTGCAATGCTGGAGAAGTCTACTCCGAGGCTTTGGATGCAATTGGAATTGACTAGTAATTACTCTCAGAATTCCCAAACCTTTCCCAGCAACAAGAAGAAGAAGAAGAAGAAGAAGAAGAAGAAGAAGAAGAAGAAGAAGAAGAAGAAGAAGAAGAAGAAGAAGAAGAAGAAGAAGAAGAAGAAGAAGAAGAAGAAGAAGAAGAAGAAGAAGAAGAAGAAGAAGAAGAAGAAGAAGAAGAAGAAGAAGAAGAAGAAGAAGAAGAAGAAGAAAAAAGTTGGAAGGGACCTTGGAGGTCATCAAGTCCAACCCCCTGCTCAGGCAGGTAACCCTATACCATTTCGGACAAATGGCTACCCAGTCTTTTCTTAAAAACTTCCAGTGTTGGAGCATTCACCGCTTCTGGAGGCAGGTTGTTCCACTGGTTAATTGTTCTAACTGTCAGGAAGTTTCTCCTTAGTTCTAGGTTGCTTCTCTCCTTGATTAGTTTCCATCTGTCTCTTCTTGTCCTGCCCTCAGTGCTTTGGAAAATAGCTTGACTGCCAGATCCTCTGTGATATCCTGTGAACTAAATTCTGGAAGGCACCAGGCTCAGATTATACAAACACTGTTCAGTATAATCAGATCAGATCACGAAAATAAAAAGAAGTACTGTATGATAGGAATCTAAAATGTTTTATAAATACTGTATGCATTTCTTTTCTGAAAAAAGTAGCAGATAACCCAAGAAAACAAAGAAAAATCTATCAAAAGAATTGGGATACCAAAGCCAGTGAGTGATGATTTAAACGAAATGAAATCTGACTGCAGCCCAATGTGAGAAAAGTCTCCTTCAGCTGAAAAGGCCTGCTGATGTGGGTCTACATCAGTGATATCAACACCTTCTGATGCTGCAGCTCATCTCCTCTATTTCCCACCGTCAGATCCTTGGCCAGTTGCCAAGTGACTGAGTGTGAAAAATGTGGGCATGAATTATTATTATTTTTTGCTATATTGATTTAGAAAACTAGACTATGTTGTGCTCAGCAGAGCTAAACCTAGGCTATCTTAAGAATCCTTCATATAGGATTCTTTGTCTATTGTCTCATCCTTTAGTATCGTCCTCCATTCTGTGGAGGTTATTATTGTATCTCACTGAGAGATGTGTGATATAAACTTTCCCATTGACTAAAGCTTGATTTAGACTTGCCTGCAACTGCGTATAGGTATCAATGCATCCTATGCTGCAAAGTTGATAGGCAAGCATAGGTTGTAGATGGTGGCAGATGAGCTGACGCACATACCCCCCAAATCTCAACTATGCGTTGTGTGGAGATGTGCGTCCTTCATGCTGATTGATTGATCTGACTTCCTGTTAAGAAATAGGCAGAAGGCAAGGCACATTCAAACAACAAAATGGAGCAGCTAGAGGACAGCCTTGCTGACAAAATGGGGAGATAATAAATATTTGTATGATGTAATGGATAAATACTACAAAAAACAGGAGTAACAAACAATCCATGGAGCGAAATTAGAGGAACTTGGAGGAAGACCCAGACAGATGCAAAGGAAAGTAGAAGCAACTGCAAGACCAGTTTGTCAAGCTTACAAAAAAAACAAAAAAACAAAAAAAACAAAGAGCAGGCACCTGGGCCCGGAGGACAGATAATTCCAGCTTTTCACAAAGAAATTGTCTTTGCTGATTTTCCACTTCCTGCTTTCTTCTACACTACATTTTCTTTGCTTTCTTGTTTTAGCGCCCCCTAGCCAAAAACATTCACAGAAATATAAATGTAAGAGCTATGAAGCCATCTCCAAATGACAGATGCATACATTCTCTGACATGCAGAGACACAGAGGTCTAGCCCTGGTCTAACGTCAAATCTCCAGCTATCTCAAGATGTCTGTTCCTTGTCATTTTCAATAGTAAGTGGGGAGAGCTAATGGTGTGTATTTCAGTGGGTAACAAAAGGAAGTTTGAGTTATAAATGGGAAGTAACTAGTATGCAAGTTAGTCATAAATCTACATACTAATATAGATTAAAAATAATAAATGTGGTTAATAAATACACCCAGCAAATTTCTCCAACTAAAATAAACATATAAAATAAACATATAGAAAATATGGCAGTGATGTTTCAGAAAAACTAATTCTTTTTTATAATGTTTCAGAAAAAGTTAATCAATTCTTATACATTCTTTATTGCAATGTTGTTCTGTTCTATGCATTTGGCTTTATAAAGATAATATATATATTCCTCTCCCCCAGATATTTAACTCTGATTCACTTTTAATGTCACAACAGGTTGTGATTCCAAATATCCCTCCTTTAAAGGCATTTAAAAAAAAATTAAACTGTATATTCACACAAATGACCCAAAACCCACTGGTTATTGAAACTTTATTTAATGACATTGAACAGATATTAGCAACTGTCTCTTTTCACTGGAGATAATTGCTTTTAAAGCTTGTCTCTCATATTTCTTCACTTCTCCAAAATACAAGTGTTAGTTTTCAAGCTCTAGATATACATTTAAAACCTGAAGTATGTCATTTTGCATTGTATGGTCACAAAGGAAACTTCTTGATCCATCACTTCATAGGGAAGATGATGGTGATAAAATTCTTGAAGTCATCATGCAAATACAGCTGTCAAGATTATAAAGTGCTCAGTTAACCAGCCGAAGGTAATAAGCAAAGAGAGTTGGAATGCAGAACCTGACTCAAAGCAGATGTTTAATGTTAGTGATCCTTCTTAGGAATTTGGCCTATCTTGTTTAATGTAAGAATGTGAATAGCATCTTCTATACTTGCTAGTTCCTGCAAATTCTGGATGCTACTGAAGATAGCATGACAAAACAGACTGGCTCCAGGTTTGCAAAGGAGAGAAAAAGCTGTGTATCCTTCTCTTATTTATTGAACTGATTTGTGGAACATACTATATATTGCAGGAAGCTTGGAAAATAGTAACAGGACTGCAACTTCTCACTTTTAAGATTGTTTCTCAACAATAAAGGAACCAGCAGCTAAGAAATACTCCTTAGGCTAGCATTTGCTAGAGTAGCAATGAAGTCCTGAGAAAAGATGTGTATATCTAAATAATTAGAAATCTACAGACCATATTTTCTCTATAACACTCTGGATGTGAAAGTTAGCCTTTGAAGAAGCAAGAAGAAAAGAGTATTGATGTTTTTGAACTTTGGTATTGGGGGAAAATCCTGAGAATATCATGATTAGAAAAAAATTGGATCATGAAACTGATCAACATGGAATTCTTTCTCAAGGCACAAATAAATGATCAGGTTCAAATATCATACTTTGGGAAGCTGGGAAAATGGAAACGGGGTGACAACTTCTCACTTTTAAGATTGTTTCTCAACAATAAAGGAACCAGCAGCTAAGAAATACTCCTTAGGCTAGCATTTGCTAGAGTAGCAATGAAGTCCTGAGAAAAGATGTGTATATCTAAATAATTAGAAATCTGCAGACCATATTTTCTCTATAACACTCTATGGATGTGAAAATTGGACTTTGAAGAAGCAAGAAGAAGGGAGTATTGATGTTTTTGAATTTTGATATTGGGGGAAATTCCTGAGAATATCATGATTAGAAAAAATTGGATCATGAAACTGATCAACACAGAATTCTTTCTCAAGGCACAAATAAATGATCAGGTTCAAATATCATACTTTGGGTACATTATATAAAGACCTAGTTCTCTGAAAAGGTCCATAAGGCTGAGAAAGGTAGAAGAAAAGAAGAGGACTGTGGTGGAATGTAGTCTAGATTCCCAGGAAGGAGGGCTGCATTCCAGAAGGCACAGAGTCAGCAAAGCATGGGAAGTTTGGTCGGGAGGAAGAGTTAAAACAGTTCCTCTCTAGCAATTCCCATAGTATATGTATGGTGATGCAAATATTTGCTTTACTTTGATAAGATTTCTGCTTATAGGTGAGGAACAATATAGGAAACTACTCAGAAGTAACTCCACGTATCTTTCTTGATCCTTGAGGACCTGACAAGACAGATGTTTTCAGTTACTGTGGCAATTAATGCACCTATGGAAGACCTGAAGGACTAAATTGGGGACAGATCATCCTGGTGAAAATCTACCTGTTTGGTCGTTAAGAGTCAACCCAACTTAATGCTACATAACCCATCAATCAAATTAATTCAAGTAATGTTCACTTTCTTATTTATCCATGAGCTGTTCCTGCCTGTACATTGACTAATGAATAATAAATTCCTTTTTCAGCCAGAAGTTGCTGATGTGTTCCTTGTTCCATAACTTTCCCTTTGTGGATTACAGCTATAATGTCAGCATTCTGCACTGTTGATAAGCGATGAGCTATTATAATGCAGGTACGACCTTGTCTGGCTTTATCCAAAGCCTCCTGGACAACCTATTGAAAAGAAAAAATGTATTTTAATATATGAAAAAAAATCCTCTTCTGTTCTCTGAGAACATGTACATTGTGACTAGGAGCTTAATGTACATCTAACTCTGAAACAGCTTCATGTTTTAATTTGAGCTATTGTTAATTTTCTAGTTGTGAATCCTTTTGGAGACCTAGTAGCTTAGTCACTGTAAGCCCAAGAATTCAAATTCTTTTATATTGAAGCAAACTATTAGTCCATTTGGCAGGATTGTCCACGCTAGCTAAAATTGGTTCTTGATATCTGTCTGTCCCAATAAGTCTGATAGGATAGACATGTTTTCGTTCCCATCCCTAAAATGTTGCTGCAGTCAGTGTGCTTTTTCTCTAGCCATTCCATCCCTATGCAATAGACTCCTACCAGAGACTGAAGAGGTCCATATCCTTTTAGCTTTCTGAAAAGCCGTGAAGATCTGCCTCTTCTGCCAAGCATTGAGTTAGGATGGGGATTGAGTCAGGAGGTTAATAGTGTGGTGGCTGGGCACCAGATGAGATGGTTGTTTAGTTTTTATTATTTTTGCTGGTTGTTATGAATTGCCTAGCTTCCTTATATAAGATAGGCAGTCATATAATATATATGTATATATAGGTATGAGTGTAGGTGTATGTATGTGTGTGTATACACATACACACATATTTGTTTTCTGAGGTTTTCGCGGGTGTTTGTATGTAGGTCTTTGGTCATTCGGGTTCTCT